GACCCTCCACGAACAACAACCAATTCTGTGCGGCGCTAAATTGAAATCCCAGCCCACACCATTACACCATTAAGGAACCACGTTGGAAAGGTTGGCTCTGGAAAAAATTACATGCTGCATATCTTTCGTATCTTCTTTCACGCCCGTCTGGAGATCGAAGAGCGAATCATCTGAGTCATCTGTAAAAAGTACAGCACTCCATTCGTCCATAGTCCAATGGCTGTGTTCTTGAGCAAAGGCCAGCCGTGTTACTCTGTGAGTTCTGGTCCTCTTACTGAACGAAAAGCCATTAATCCGTACTCAATTAATCTTCTCCGAACGGTACAGAAATTTGCACACCTTGAACTTCTTCGAGCTGATGAATCGCTTGAACAGCGGTAAGGTGCCGGTTTCGTAAAATTCTCAAAGTCAAAAACCGGTCATCCCGTGGTTCTGTTACCCTAGGCCGTCCAGAACCGGGTCTTCTATTGTAAGAACCAGTTTCCCGAAAACGACTGACGGCGTATCGTAATGTTTCATATGGAACTCCGATGGCATTAGCTGCATATCTAATGGAACGTCCATCATAAATAGTGCCACACCACGCGCAACATCCTCAGCACTAAGAAGCATTTTTAAACTTAATATTAAAAAAATTAAAAGCCGGAGACTAAGAAATGTGCTGCAAGAAACGGCACTGAACTAATGATACTGAATAAACATTTTCATTCCATAGAAAGTAAACATTCGAATCTAGAGTAATTTCATTGAATTAAGGATTAACGGTTATTGTCCTCTATATTAAAATTCCTAATTGAAAACAAACAAAAAGATTACCCATTTTTCATTAAAAACAATAGACCAATCCAAAGCAGAAATATTTTTAGATGAAAACGTGATAAAATCAAGTGGGTGGAATTTTTTGCAAGTCAGTGTATTTTACTTCTTCTTTCATACAAGAACAATGAAATAGAATTATAAACAATGTCATTTCCTTGATTAGGTGGATTTTAAATACTTCTTTCAAGCTTAACAATATTTTAAAAGTTTACATTTAGTTAGTAAATTTCATTTAATTTCCTTGAAAACATGCGATTTACGTTAAATATTATTAATTTTCAAACATTATTATTTATCATTTTTTTGCCACTTTCCGTTACTTTCTACAATTTTCTATATTAGATATTGTTTTTTTCTAAAATTCTCCGCTTTCCAACGATATATTATAAGTATTTTAGCATTTTTTCGTAACTTTTAATAATGATAGATAGTTGATTATTTAAGATAAACTATATTGAAGGTACTTTAGAGGAAGACGCATTTGAACCTTGGGCGTGTAAGCCCTGTAAAGTGACATCAACGGAGATAAGACCAAAATAATGTTAAAGAACACTTAATTATTATGATACACCGAGTTTAATCAAAATCGTTACAGCCGTTTTTGATAAAATTGTAAAAATGTATTTCAGCATTTATATTAAGTGGCACTTCCGCTTAGCCAATTTTAAGGAAAAAGTTGCGAGGACATCTAAGGCATATATCTATCTTAAATATGTAATATTAGTTTCGTACGACTTTTCGGTTTCAAGCTAGAGTGTTCACATACACACAGACACATAGACCATTTTTCGGGACTTGGTTATTTGGACTCAGGGAACCTCAAAACATGTGTTTCCGTTGAAAACTCAGAGTCAAAAATTCACACGATCGCAATACTTACACTTACTATATATTTCATATATAGGTAAGTGAAAATAAAAATGGCAACTGGTTTACAGTATATTAGCCCCTGTAACTTGAGGACCGAAACAGGAAATTCATTGAGAAAAATTTATAATTTATATCCAGAACAACTCCATTGAATTTGATGCTCTAAAACTTTCATTCGACAGGGCCTAAATAAATTGTCTAATTTTCTGCCAAGGCCCATATCAACTCAAACCATTTGCAAACGTTTGTGAGAAGATAGTCTAACATCTTATGCACCTTTAAGACGACTTACAGAAATAATTCGTTACCGGTAACTTCACAGATAAGCTAGAGTGAGCATCACAATGGTACAAATCGGAATGCTGTAACATTTACAGCTAAGTCGCGTTTCTGTATTTATAGCGATCGTAGGTCCCAAGAGTCTTCCGAGAAGAGAGGATGGGTACACAACCACAGTTTGTGCTTACTTTATGCAGTATGTGGGAGTGTGATGGTAGAGGCCGGCATCTACTCAGGAGGACCGACCCTAATCCATCTTGTGGTAAGTGATCTCATTGCAGTTCGTTATGTTCAAGAGATTATAGAGAAATACATTCCTCAAAGCAGGACCATAATTGGCACAAAATTCCATTCTCATGACGACAAGAGACATTGAGCACATGTGGGATGCACCGCAGAGAAAGTTTTTTAACTAACATCTGCAGCTTCTTAACCTTCAGCATCCTTAATGTGAACAGCATTACTATGTTTATAGTATGACATTCCTTGTGAAATCAATGACAATATTATAAACTGTAGGGTAACAGAAGATATTTCACATATTATTAAATTTTACAAAATTCTTAAAATTAGCAAACATAAAAGAAACAACATACAAACTTTTATTATTTTTTAAAAACAACTTTTATGAAATTTCCCGAGATCAAACACCATAGTTGATCCCACGATCAGGATCAGGAAATCAAGGTACATGCAGAGAAACATAAAAATTATACGAAATCGCATACATTACTTGGAGGAAAAGTACTCAGATGAATTCGGCGAGAAAGAATTTTGAGTTGAAGGGATATTATTATAGTGGACCAAACGCAAGACCAAGACGAGACCGAAGCGGTGGTCTTGGCGCCTAAACGAATGCATCGATTTCAATGAAACTTCGCTAGTTATTTTCTCGACACCCTTTAAATTTATCTATATAACATACTTCAACTAAAAGAAGCTGGAAAAAAAGTTACGAGAGATGGTAAAATTAAAATCCGAATAACTCAAAAAGTATACCCTTTTTTGTAGATGTTGTATATGTTTTTTTTTATTAGTTTGTGGAATTTCCTATGAAACCAAAAAAAAAATCGTTAAGATCGTTAAGACAATTTGGAGGAAAGATATGGTCTCCAGTTTTTTTCTCTGAAGAGGCGAAAATTTGGATACATTTAAAATATTGTTTAATTGTTGAGACTAAAAAAAAACTTTTTTCTACAGATATTTAATAAAGTATCTTTCCTAAGAACATTTTTCATAAAAGTTAAGTACCTAAATTTATACTTTTATTCTTAGTTCTATATTTCAACACTGCAATCAGCACCTCCGGAATCAACTTACTCATTGTCTGCATAAATAACTTTTTCAACTAAAAATATCATTAAAATGACATCACTCAAAAATGTTTAAATTGGAGTTAGTCATTCTTTGGTTTATAAAAGCAAAGAAAGTTGTGTGGTTTATAAAAGCAGATAAAAATTTTTTATTATAGCCCAGCAATGCCAGAAAATAATTTCTAGTCATAGATCGGTAAGTGAAAGTTGTGTGTTGCGCGCACCAGATTTTGTTTTTGTATTTTTATATATTATTTCTGATTTCAAATAATAGTTTTGCTATTAAACGAAGAAACAAGGAAATCTGATTAAAAATAACGGATTTACAGAATTATAGCCAAACATATCCAAATAGGGATCACAGAACGGAAATTGTGAAGCTCATATTCTGAGAACATTAATCCACTTTATTGTCGGTTATTTTTGATTCCTCATGAGAGTCCGCTTCTTTTGAGCAGAAGCTTCACTATAGTAACTAAAATGGGCTAGGCATTAGTAACCATTTAGTGCACGTTGCCCGGTAACCTGATAACCGAAATTGGAGACAATAAAATAATTATGAATTCGCGTCCCGCTATCCAGGGGGGTCTTTACTCTGGCATTAATCCCCCGCTCACACCCTAGACCCGCAAAAACTCGCAAATTCAAATAAAGCTATACAATTCCACAAGATAAAACAACGCTGTTTAGATTAGATGATTACAATGTTTAAGCACTGTACCATATCTGAAAATAATCTCAGTTTTGACTTAACTGCAAGACCTGCAAGATACTTGTAGGTCTTGCACAAGACTTGGAGGGTCTGGTCTTGGTCTTGCAAAAGTGCATGACCAAGACCAAGACCAATTTTGGGCTACACTAGCTATGGTTCGGAAACAGCAGTAACCATCTCTGTAACAACGATTAATTTCTTTAAACAACGTTTATAATTTTTTTAAAATAACTTTTATGAAATTTCCCGAGATCAAACACCATAGTTGATCACACGATCAGGTATAAAACTAACGATCAGGATCAGGAATTCAAGTTACAGGCAGAGAAAGAAATAATTGTACGAAATGCATACATTACTTGGAAGAAAAGCATACAGATGAATTCGGGGAGAAAGAATTTTGAGTTAAAGGGCTATGGTTCGGAAACAGCGGGAACCATCTTTCTAACAACGAGTAATTTCTTGCCGAGGCTCAGGACTGGAAATTATCAGATGCTGACCATGGCAGAAACTATTATTTTGAACTCATTAGAAATCCTCCATCACCACGTATATTGATCTTGGCCTTCCCTTATTTCATTCTGTGAACCGTTCATAGTATTCTAATGTTCTGACCTAACTCTCTTATAATTTTTTTTTTATTATTATCTGTTTATTGATGAGTATGCTATGTAATTTAGCAACTCAACACAGTTGAGCAGCCGTGCAATGTTATTATAAGTTGTTCTCTCTTTGTATTATTTTTTAATATATTTTATAATAAAAATAAAATAATAATTCTAAAGAAATTTAAAAAAAAAACTAACAATATCCCAATTCATTTTTGAACATTACGTATCCAATGGCTTAAAGTAATGTACACAAACCTAGTAATACCATTTGGGATATTACAGCCAGAATTACGTGACAATTTAATTATCATATTAACTACAAACTTACTTTGGGAAAACAAAGAGTGGTTAAGTACCAAAACTAGAAATTATCAATAATGGTAAATGAACACTCACCAAGAGCTGCTCCTTGTAAAATCACAGCAACTAATAATGCAGGATTTCCGAATGATGCAAAAAAGGTTATAACAACTGCTAGCATACCCAATGCACATCCAGCACCACACAAAATGATCCAAGGTGTCATAAGACAGTGATTTTTCTGTAACAGAAATTACATAAAAAAGAAATTGTCAACAACTTTGAATATCAACCTAATTTTATTTAATTTTTAATAATCTACATATAAATTTCATACCTTACAATATTTAGTGGGGATAATTTATAAAAGAACACATACACACATTATAACAAGAATCTAATTTTTACTAATTTGTTCTGTTGCCAATAAATAAAGTACAATATATTACTATAATATAATACAATATATTATACTAAAGCTTTATTAATCTTTTTATAATGTAACTCTAAATATATCTATGTATATATAAAAAAAATATTTATGTGTGCCACATCCCCTACAAATTTTAAAAGTTTACATATTAAACAGTAACAATTAAAATTAATTTTCAAGCCATATTTTTTAGGTTCAGTAGCATTTTTTTTTTAACATATTAGGTCAAAGGTCACTAATATAAAACGCTGAATAATAAATACATAAAGTGAAAACGTCTATTACTGCTTACCTTTGGCCTAATACTTTTTAAAAAAAATCTGCCAAGTAAGGTATAGCTTCCTCACCGTTTTCATAAATAATAATAATAAGGCTTAGCGAACCCGAAAGTTCGATGCCGACACCACCAATCGCTTGTTACACACCTCCCTCCAACGTTCGCCGTCCAAACCCAGTCCCTTCAGATCGGCTTTAATGCAATCTTCCCACCTTCGCTTCGGTCTACCCCTCGGACGCTTACCATTCGGCACAGCAAATATTAACGTTTTAGGAATTCTCTCGTTACTAAGCCCAACAACTTTACAAGCTCATTTGATTCGCCGCGATGAAATTACCTCAATTTATTACCCGGATACAGCTCACGCAATTCGGCGTTGTGTAACCGTCTGAACTCTCCGGTTAACTCATCCTTCTTCGGTCCGAATATTCTACGCAATACTATATTTTCAAAAACCTTAAGACGCTGCCCATCCCTTAATGTAAGCGGCCAAGTTTCGCATCCATAAAGAACTGTAGGCAAGATACACCGTTTTCATATGCTAAAAAATATCTATAGTAAAAGGTCTAAAAATTTTCTTATGAGAATAAAATCTCTGGAAGAAGCCGTTTTCGAAAATTCAGTAATCCCTCAACTTACACGGGCTAGCGAGTTTTGTTACTCAGGAAATACTAAATTGTGAAAAAGTTCCGCATTTGCAGATTGCATATTTGATATTTCTTAATTTAAAAAAAAAATAGAGTGCATACTGAATATGTATCTCGCTACTGTTAGTGCAAATGACATAGATAAAAATTGAGTGTCTAACAGGAGAGGAAAAAAATAAATTATTTCTTTATGATTTATTAGTATAATTTTTATTATTACCTTCTGCTATTTTTCATAGTAGTAGACTACTTATAGCAATTGCAGATTACATAATGTCAAAAATAGAATAAAATTTGAAAACTTTTATATACGACCTATAAAAGTTTATATATAAGTTATAATTCACTCGTAAAATGGATGGAACAAAAAACCAATAGGAAAAATTAAACTTTTTGTTTGTTCGAAGTTAAAGAGACCAATCCTTTTTTCAGTCAGAACAAAACTAATTATGCTGAAATATAAAAATATGAGTTAAGTGGACACAATTTCGATATTTAAGGAGAAAATCGAGACCACGAGGAGCTGATTGAACTTCAATGAAAATAAACACAATCACAAATAAGAAATTTTTTTTTTTTTACAAATTTCGAGTAAAAATAATTTTAATTTACTGAAAATTTACACGAAATCTATGTAACGGGAATATGTGTCATACCAGTAACGTTTTGAATCGGATAAACAATACAGTATAAATTAACTTTTTGAATAAAATCTAAAATTTTATAATCACATAACAATATTGTAATGCATTAACTCTCACTCCATATGATCTGTTCTTTCCACATTTCACAGCCATTATATTGTTAATAATTATATATTAATAATAATTATTAAATGAAATTAAATTAAATTGAATAACACATTTCCTGATCTGAAAGCAGAAGTATTTTCATTTGTAATATTAAATAGAATTGGATAAAATTAATACTTCCTTATTTCCTTTTACGCCTAAATTCCCTCAAAATTTGAGCATAATCGAACTTGCTGTATTAGAGATATAGACGTATCAAGGCAAATACGTTTGCGCATATATAAGAGAAAGCAATGGACAGAAGTCAATCAAATTGACCCTACATTATTTTTTCACAAATACCTACCTTTTATCCAACTTTGAGCCAAATCGAACAAGTTGTTATGAAATATTGGCATATCTACAAAAATGCGTGTGCGCGTGCGGTAGCGGAAGCGCTGGTTAGAATTTAATAAAATTTATAAGGGACCATCACGTAAATGTGTAGGGCTCGTAACGTCTGGAATTAGGGATGATAATAACAATATTCTGACCGATCCGGTTGACATATTGAATAAGTTTAAGGAACACTTTGACAATATTTTAAATACGGGAAATTATGATCTGTGTCCTCCTTCTGAGTACCCGAGTGCTGAACCGTTAATAGAAGGACCAAGTAAAGAGGAAGTTGAAGTAGCTATCGGAAAAATTAAAATCTTATAAAGCAGCGAGAACCGATAATATTCCTACTGAACTAATTAAGGCATGCGGGGAAGCTGGAATTTCTAAAATACATCGGTTCGTTAAAAAGATCTGGGTGAATGAGAAATTACCTGAAGAATGGAAAGAATCTATTCTTATTCCGATTCACAAAGAGGGTCCGAGAACCGATTGTAATAACTATCGAGGAATTTCACTCCTTCCGGTATGGTAGAAAATATTCACTTTAATCTTAACCAGTCGAATCACGGAATACGCCGAGGAAATTATCGGAGACTATCAATGCGGATTTAGACGGAATCGTTCGACTATTGATCAAATATTTTCTTTACGGCAAATATTAGAGAAAAAATTGGAGTACAACGATATTGTTCACCAGCTGTATATAGATTTTAAAAAGGCTTATTATTATATTGACCGCCAGAAACTGTATAATATTCTAATCGAGCAAGGAATTCCAAAAAAACTAGTAAATCTAGTCAGGATGTGCTTGGCGGAGACACTCAATAAAGTTAGAATCGGTAATAATCTGTCCGAAAAATTTGAGGTGCGTTCGGGTTTAAAACAGGGGGATTCCCTTTCGACTGTCCTGTTCAATTTGGCATTAGAACATGCCATTAGGGAGGTAATGCGAACCGAGAAAGGGTTGGATCGGGGCGGGACTGTTAAGTACTGTTAAGCGAAGACGTTGAAACTATAAAACTAAATAAGACAACGTTAATGAAAGCTGATAAAGAACTAGGACTCGAAATAAACGTAGATAAAACAAAATATATGATTCGCTGCAAAAATGGCGAAACTACTGGTGATATCGATATAGAAGGTAATATTTTTGAACAGGTAGATAAATTTAGGTATCTAGGGTTTCACTAGGGGTTCACTAGGGTCTACGATAACTAGAAAAAACGAAATTGAAGGAGAGATTAAGGTTAGACTGAAGGCGGGAAATGCTTGTTATTTTTCTGTGACAAAACTATTTAGTTCACTCGCGCCTCTTGTCCCGGAACATAAAAATTAGAATCTATAAAACAATTATCTTGCCTACAGTTCTTTATGGATGCGAAACTTGGCCGCTTACATTAAGGGATGAGCAGCGTCTTAAGGTTTTTGAAAATAAAGTATTGCGTAGAATATTCGGACAGAAGAAGGATGAGTTAACCGGAGAGTTCAGACGGTTACACAACGCCGAATTGCGTGAACTGTATCCGGGTAATATAATTTCATCGCGGCGAATCAAATGGGCTTGTAAAGTTGTTGGGCTTAGTAACGAGAGAATTCCTAAAAGGTAAATATTTGCTGTGACGAATGATAAGCGTCCGAGGGGTAGACCGAAGTTAAGGTGGGAAGATAGCATTAAAGCCGATCTGAAGGGATTGGGTTTGGAATGCGAACGGTGGAGGGAGGTGTGTAATAAGCGATTGGTGGTGTCGGCATCGAACCTTCGGGTTCGTTAAACCTTTTATTATTATTTATTCTCTAAAGTATTACATACATTTAATCCTTTCCCAATTAAACATCTTTCAGTCAACATTTACTTGTTGGTTAAATAAAAATATTCTTCTGCTCTTTCCCTATGAAATGATCCTGCAGTCCTACATAAATTGGTTTAAAGCTATTCAATTTTATCATCAATGATAATTGTATCATACATTTAATTTAAACAATTTCTTTCGTTTTCGTCTTATTAAAAAGAATACATTTTCAAAAAATGTATAAAATATTTAATTTGAAATATTGCTCAGGTTGAACTTAATACTTCAATTGCAGAGTTGGAGTGATGACGTAACTCAGACGAACGCATTTTCTTCTGCGCATCGAGTATTAATTGCATCTTTAAATTTATTGATTTTATCTTGAGCATATTAATCTTCGAATCGTTTAGGAGGACGAACAATAGTCACAGAAGAAGTATATGGGAACGTTTTTTTACCACAATCACTTATGTTTGATTGTATTGTACAACCAAACATTATGTTTAAACACAAATTTACAAAAATCTTGCCATTTTGTTCTAATTGTAGCCACTGTCAATTTAAGGTAATTTGTCAACCCAACAAAAGTGAGATGATTTCTAACTTGAACTGCTGCCAAATAAAATAAATTATAGGCTTTAAACGCGTATGAGTAGGATTTTTCAAAACGCAGAATAACTTCCTTTATGTAATTGACGTTTTTTAAAAATAAAATCATATCTCAAAATGCCAACAAAAGCAATCAACTCTTTCATTTTTGTTCGATATGCCTACTTAGTCACTTCTGAGAAAAAATATTACAGTGGTACTATGGGGTACATTTTTAATAAAACAATTTTGAAGATGTAAAATTGAGTTATCTTAAAGTATATGGTAATGAATAAGTTAAGAGGTCGAAATATGAATTGATAATCCAATGAATGACTTATTATATATTGGGCATCCATATCTATCAAATAAAAATTATTATTGTAAAAAAAATTAACTAGTGGAACAGAGCTCAATTGAAAGATAAAACAATAATATAACAAAACATCAGCCATAAAATCAGTAAATATTTACAGAGGGTTGTATTTATTGTTGGAGACCGTTAGAATCAAAACAATTTATAATTATCATCTAATTAGACCTTCTCGTTGCATCTTCTTGCGGCGGTTTTGAAAGGTTTTTCCATTTTTCAACTAGGTTGGTCACTCTTCCCACTGTGCAATGTATTAGTCGGTAGGTGAACCTTTTTTTTCCTTTTTTTTCTCCCTGCCGTGCCTTACAGGCAATACGGTGTCGTTTGTCGAAGCAGTGGTGTATCACGAAGGGTATTTGCGAGTTAAATAGCTATAGTTATTATTACCATTTTTCTTTATTTATTATTACTAATATTGTTAAGTCCTTTGTCTCAAAGAGTTATTGCCTCAGTTATTGTCTCAAAGGGTTAGAATTGACCAGCTTCAACCATTGATAGATTTATGCTGTCATTCTCCAGGAGATGTTGTTAGTCCTCCAACAATTTATGGCTACAGCATTATTGCCCATAGTGCCCCATAAAAAATACCTACTTTTGTATATTCCGCCTCATTTGTCCCAAAAGTTTATAGTTAACAAATGCCTGGTGCATTGTTACTTTTAACAAAAAACCAACTTTCTATTGAGCTTCAAAACATCCTACAAACAATTCCAAGTTTAGAAGTCAGACATGTTACATTAGTTAAGGCCTCACAAGGCTAGTTTATAAGTTCAATAACATTATGTCAATGTAACTTTATATTTTACAATAAAAGTGAATTTCAAAGTCTTTACTGTTGTACAAGTTCGTTAATTTGCGTATGGCACTGCTAGAAGTACAGGTCTATTTTATTAAAAGTTGCATGGTTATTAATTAAAAGTATGGTGGGAGATGAGGTGTCGACTTGTTGATGACGGCTGTGCACAAATTCACGCCTTCTTTTTCTCCATTCTTTCCCCTTCTCCTACATACAGCCGGTCCTCGAAGCAGCTGCACCTTGTCTTAAGTTCCTTCTCTTCTTTTCAGATTAAAATGTGTATGGCCTACAGCATCTTTCCAACCTTATAACAATTCCCTGTAAACTGGGTAAGGAGCTTAGCTCTACGTGCCTCATAAGCAGTGCATTCGACGACCACGTGTTCGGTGGTGTCCGGAGCGTTGCAGTTGGGTCATAGCGGATCAATATTCTTTCCGTGTTTAACGAACTCCGCTCAAAAGCCCCCATGTCCCGTGAGGAGTTGAGTTTAGTGGAGTTGACCCAGTAATCCGGGTGGACCTATCTTGCATCTAATCTCGCCATGATTGTGGAAAAGTACTTTCTTAGGGTAGCCCCCTTCGGAGTTGCTATCCGTCAACTGGGTCCACCCTGATAATTCTTTTCCATCTTCTTGGGTCTTCATAAATTCTCATCTTTAGATGTTCCGGTAGATCTCCCGAACGTTCTCTTTTCATTTTAAAGAGTCGGTACGTGAACCAATCTTAATTTTGCCCATCTTCCAGCCATGGATAAGTAATATTATGGATTAATAATCATGGAAGGAAAACTAGAATTTGCATAGATTAAATATTTATCAGATTCGATAAAAAATGTCTGCGATTTATTATTTTTAGTAATGTTATCGTGCTCTTAATGATGAATTATATCTTGAAAAATTCGGCAGTGCACAGGTTTAGCCTCTGCATTGTTTATAAGATCTTTTGACAACATAGATTGAGACAGCGTTTTTTGCAATTGAAATTAATACATTTCTAAAACGGTTCAATTTCGATTACCTTATCCACAATGCCCTATTTTAATTTTTACGTAATATAAATCAGTTTAGACCAATTACATATGCGTTTCCGAAATTGGAACTGATGAAGATATGAGAAAAATGTATCAGAAGACAAATGTATAGAACAAATGAGGATAGTTTTCTTGATTTATTATAACATTTAATGAAGAATTAAGCTCCGTATTTAAAGCTAATTATTAATTGTTAGGATATCAAGTCCTACTATTACTGGGCTATAGTGAGAAGGATCTATAATCTATAATCTCTTGATACCTATTAAATAAAACTATTATCAAATTAATATAAGTAAATGAAATATCTAATTATACAGAATAAATACCTTGTAAATTCCAACCAAAAGCATTGTGTCGATAGCTAATGAAGCAGAATAAATAACGAACATTATGGCAGCACTCACTCTTACTGACAGCACTAAAACAGAAAATATTGTGAACGACAAATCATATTAATAATAAGCATAAAATCATTGAATGTTTCTTCATATAGCACTAGCTATTCAACAAAATAAACACATACGCATATAATAAGTATGTAGTAAGTATGGTAAAGTAAGAAATTTTTCTTCTATATGCTTTTAAGTTTAATGCTGATTTGTTTAAACGAACAATTAAGAACATTTAAAAAAAAAGAAGTTTTTATTTGATATTAAATATACAATACAATAATTTTATCTTATATATGATCGACAGGAGAAGCTAGTAATTACTAGAATTTTAAATTTTTTCAAAGGATAAAAAATCTTATAACACGAATAACAGTGGTGAACGTGCGGTCAGGGATGCCCAAAAGGCAAGTTGGGCCATCAAAAATTTTGAGGAGGACAAATTTTGATGGGATTATGAGTTTTCGGAGTGAAAAGTTTCAAACCAGCATCCAATGAGAAAAACATGGATCAGATCAATGCAAGTGTAATTGTGCTTATATGATCTATTTTTTTAATTCTAATTTGGCATGCACTGATTTTAAGAATAGGAGAGAAATAAAGTGTCTTGAGGGGTAGGGAGGAGGGGAGTTAGTTCATGCACCAAAGCAGAGCGCGGAAAAAAGCTGAACAGCTTTTAGGAAGATCCTCCTTGCCTCAAAATTGGTCTGCGGCGAAGAGAGCGTTTGATCTGATCCCAAAAGAAGAATCTGTTGAACGGGTGGTAAAAGGGCTATAAAATTAAAAGAAGGCAGCTCGGGAGAACCATCTAAACCTGAGGACTACCGCTGTCCATCAAGTGTACAAGGATTGCAGGAAAGAAGCCAAATTACAATTGCTTGAAGCAAAAAGAAAATCTTTGGACGATTTCGGTCAGAAGCTCCAGGAAACCGAAAGAGAAAACCAAGAAGTCTTTTATAAAGTTTTGATATGAATGAGAAGGGATTTTTTGACATCCATAAAAGTATAATGTAACTACAATCTGTACAGATTGCCATCAGGAAGAGTTTATTTGAAATTTCTTCTCTGAGGGCATTTGTAGCGCATCCAAGAAGGTAATTGGAGCGTCCCTCAAAAATTAACACTGATCAAACATTTTACATAAATGAAATAGAAAATTAAATTTCATACGGGCAGCTTCTAATTGTTGCTCTGACATATGCTTTTTCATCATTTCATCACGCATATAATCATAAAACACTCCGAACAAACAAGCTCCAAGAAGTAATTGGAAGGCAGCTCCAAGCTGTAAAGAAAATAAATATGTTTAATCTATCAGAGGCAGTAAATATGGTTACCAACATGGGTGATTCATAAAAAAATATAATACTTACCACACCCAACCATGCTATTATCAAGGAACTCGTTTCTAGAGTACATCCACAAAACGATTGCCTAAGTCTTGGAATACTCACCATTGTATATTTTATATAAAATATCTGAAACAAAACAAATACCTGACTTATAAATTAAATATAACCGAATAGTTTATGTACAACAATTAGTTTATGTATAATGTAAAAATAAAAAAATTTATATCCATAGCCAAAGCAAATAAAAATTATATTCTTATTAATACTATTAATAAGAATAGGTAAATACTATTAACAGTGTATCTGGCACAAAAAGTAAAAAAAAAATAAAAAAAACTGCAGTTACTAACATTTTAATCCCTAATGTTATATTAGGCACTAAAATGTTATTAACATTTTATTACTTACTGGTTAATAGGGAATAGTTATTGGCATCGGTAATATCCATATTTTTCTACAAGAGTATACAGGTACAATTTATTACACATTGCATATAAAATAATAGTTTAAATTTTTATTATATTGAGAAAATTTTATTAAATTAAGTATAATTTTCTTCTTAATTTTCGTTCTTGTCTTCTAATCACTATCACGTTTAATAAAATTTTCTCAATATAATAAAAATTTAAACTATATATATATATATATATATATATGTGTGTGTGTGTGTGTGTGTGTTTATTATAGACAAATGCATGTATATATATTAGAATAAATTCGAAATATTATTTTATATCCGATTGGGATAATAAATTATATATATGTCTTATTTAACAATTATTAGTTAAAATTTTACAGTATAACTGATAGTTTAACAATGTCATTATGTTAAAAAATATCCAAAGTCAAAATTACGGTAAATGCGTACAGTACTATTTTACTTTTGATTTTCATAATGAGGTATAAAATTACATCTCTAATCAGTATTTCCTGAAAAAAATGTTACACCGCGATGTAAACATCATAAGTATTGAATTAGTTTTAAAATATGATATATTTTGTTTAACATTTCCTATAGTGAAAATTGTCATCAATTTTGATTATACATCAGTCAACAAGATTAGCGTAGAGGTTAACATAGCCAATATCCTAAACATTTATCTAAAAATTCCATCAAATTCAAGGTCGTCAGTTGATCATATATTGACAGCTTACTTTGATTTGGGAATATTACTGGTGATTCCGGGAGTTCATTCTGCGGTTAAATTTTCGTAAACCTAATTTTAGATTTGAATTTAATAAATCATACCCACCTGTCATCCATGTATTAACGACGAAGACACCTTAGGCATTGATTAATTTTAAAAATATGAAATATTATATTCAGTATTTTCTTCCAAATTTGTATCAGTTTTGATTAAACAGGCACATCTTATTTTTGCAACTAAGGAGGCATTAAGGTGAAAATAGCGAAAGCTCTAACAATTTATATTCTTCTTCCTGTCAGTGCTGAGTGCCGTCAAGCGTGGAGTTGCAGTCTCGGTCCATCTAGCCCACTCGCCTCAGTCCCTGCCAGTCTTGTCATTTCCGAAACGGTGCGTCCTTTTGCTGCCTCCATTTTTCCAATATAATCTGAGTACATGCGCCTGAGTCTGCCTTGAGGGTGTCTTCCTTCCGGCCTGTTTGTCCGGCCTGGCTTCCAAGGCATCCTTCCTGGCTTTTCTGAAATCGCCCAATCTACAAACACGGCGGTAACATTTTAGTCACTTTTCATGCGTGATATCGCACATTAATCTGACACTAAAATGCTCAAGAATTCTTTCATTTCTGACGCAGTTCATCCTAGTGTTACCAATCATTCTTCGGATCTTATTTCCACCGATATGGTCTTACTTGCATGTTTGTCGAGGGTTGTCCAGCTATCCGATCTATACAGAAGAACTAGGAAGAACACAAGATTTAAATAACTATTTTTCTCTTGATTTATATGATCAAATTTCAGATCGTAATTTTTATATATTGCATATATATTTGAAATATTTTATATATATTTGAAAAAAATGTTACACCGCGATGTAAACATCATAGGTATTGAATTAGTTTTAAAATATGATATATTTTGTTCAACATTTCCTATAGTGAAAATTGTCATTAATTTTGATTATACATCAGTCAACAAGATTAGCGTAGAGGTAACATAGCCAATATCCTAAACATTTATCTAAAAATTTCATCAAATTCAAGGTCGTCAGTTGATCATATATTACAGCTTACTTTGATTTGGGAATATTACTGGTGATTCCCATATTACTGGTGATTACAGTTGATAATATTTTTACACCTTACTGCACATTTGGAAAATTTATGGTCATTCTAGGCGAACAGTGGGCGGTTAAATTTTTCTCAACCGAATTTTCAGTTTTGACTTTGTACGTACCAAAACCCTTAGTCATCCTCTATAATCAAATAGAGTGAATTACGGTTCAACTTATTAAAAACTCGATCCATTTACCCTTCCTCAGTTAAACGTAATACATAATTTTATCAAATATCGGATTTGAAAATTATATCTATATTAAGTCTATCAATCGCTGCCTTATTACGATGAAGCCATATTAAGTGACGTTGTAAGCGACCACCTACACAACAATATTTAGCCCTCTTTACATCACAAGATTCCGACATTTATCCGGCAGATGACTTTAATGAGCTAAACTGAATTACACATAGTGAGCTGAGGTATTATCGGAGATGAGAATTAAACCTCTCGAATGACGAGGGCGAACTCTTGGGAGCTATACTTATGCAATGAAATCTTGTGTTTCCTGATGTTCAAAGTTGGATTTTACAGAAATCTACAAAATACTACAAGTTAATATTTTGCTAGTATTGCCCACAGTAGCAACCACCATTTCTTACTGCTTATCGTTTATGCTTGTGTATTTCCCTGAAACTGCTCACCGTAGCGGTTGAATAATAAGCAACAAGAAAGCTCTACAGAACTTTCCCGAAAAATATCCAGGTGAGGATTACGGAAGCACCTAATAGATGAATGAAAATAATCCAGGAGTACACGATCGAGACATGGAGGCGGCGATGGTGAACAACCCTCAAGTAAGGTAGAAAATTGGGGAAATACTTTCCCACTGTACAGTTGAGGATAAAGACAAAGTGGGTCCCCCCGGACTACTGAGTTTCTCAATTTTTCGGGCAGGGAGGATTCTGAGCCAATTAAAATGATTCACAGATTTGGCATAGATGTAGACCCTATTTGTCTAACCTATGGTGTTCTGGGAACTGAAGAGAACGGAGTCATAACTTGTACTGCATTTGAATCTTTAAGGGTCACATCGACGAGAGCCACGGGAATATATGTCCTCACTCACATGTCCTGAGTTTCCTTTATTAGTAAGTGAAGACAATTTTTCGCCGTTCAAACAATTCATTTATGGATGGACAGCAGCGGTGGGGTCGGCCCACTTTAACGTCGGAACCCGAAAAAGAAGATGAGATTATATCTGTATTATAAAATATAAAAGGTTAACCAACCTGCTCAACAATTACCAAATAATGATTTCTTTTAATATTTTTAATAGAAAATATCAGCTTCATGATAGGAAGAATATAAAGAAATATTATTTTAAGAGTTGATAGTGTTTATTACTCATTATCAGCACGATCATTTCAGTAATAAATATCTGCGGTTTATAGAAAAAAAGTCATCAAGTAACATTCTTTATAAAATTAAATGCCTTAGTAATTTTCCTCTCAGTAAAATCAATATATTGCACACTTGGTATAACTACGTTTGATATATTAAAATTTTGTGATGTTTTGAAATTTTAAGTGAATTTATGAATCTAAAATTTTTGTTGACAAATCTTTAGCTGCATGCAAATATACTTACTGAGTATTTGCAATAAACCGCTGATATATTTCTAATGATTTTGAAAGCAGACAACGTTTTATCATAAGGTAATTTGTAAATCAGCAATTTGATTAAAAAAGACAAATTGATTTTTCAATGATTGGATTTGAATATTTACTTGAGATTGTTTTTTTCCATTATTAAATCTTAGATGGATTTAAGTATATTTGAATCCCACCATAAAATAATCTAGTTACTTTAAACGTACAAAAATGATTTGTTATAGTTTTGCCTAAATTTTAAACAATGTTTCATTTAATTTTGAAGCGAAGTTGGTTAAATAAATCATATGTATTTATTTTATTTTTACTTTTTATTTTTGTTTTTTACAGAACATCTCAGCCAACTTCTCTCCAATTTTCACTAAAGTCAACCGTCAATACACTATTGTTTCATTTAATTTTGTTTGGCTTGATGAATAAAAGGAAATGAAATGTAACTATATGACTCTTGCCATCCAAGCTCATCTCCGGTATGATAACAGAACCTAGAACTCACTGTGTGTGAGTTTTCTTATGTGTGAACATGAGTAAATAAATAATGGGAATTGATCGTGAAAATTCCAATTTTAAACATAAATAAATGTGGACGCACAGATATGATCAGGCATTTCTAAGATATTAATAGTCAGGATTTGAGATAAAACCGATAGAACATTCAAAACTTGCTATCTTGTCTGATAACGTAATAATATTATTCAACTAAATAAAATATAATTGTTTCGCTTCCGGACTGAAGATAGCTGATTTTTATTATCCGCTGGGTAAGAAAAAGGAATGATATAGACTTTTTTTAACTCTCATTGATGTACGGTTTTTCTGACAAAATTACAAGATCCAGAACATAAATAATATTTAGACATTTTACTTTATGCACTGCAAATAAATGAATTTACATCAAAATTAAAAATTAAATATTTATTTTTCGAAATAAAATTGTATATTTAATAGTCTCTGAACTGTTCCTGCTTGCCTGTGCATTTGGTCAACAACATTTCTGGGTAGCATCCAAGTCTATTGTTGTGTCCGTATAGTTTAACGTGAAATCGGGAATAAAGAATACGTATCCGTTCGTCAATAGTTGGTATGTAAAGTTCTTTTGTTTACTTGCCAGAGTTCGTTTTAAAATTTTGGATTGAAAAGACTGTATTTTTTGTAAGGGTGTCTTTTTTGCTCAATCGTAAATTTGTGAGTAATGACCCATATAGGTTTGAGTAAGTATTTAGTTTTTGACTGATTTTCAATTTTGATTTGGAAAA